CTAACCAGGTGAACAGGGAACCGTTGATACCGTAGGCAGCAAGCTTTTGGAGGAGAAGGCAGTGTTGTTCCTGCCCAATGCTTTAAAATAATCCAAGTAAATTACATCTATGGGGACTCCTTCATCAGCCGCCCTGGTCCATGAGTCCCGAGTAATCAGCAAATTGGTGAGACAAAATCGTCTGTGTCTGAAACCACGTTGGGCATTAGAAATTATTTGTAGACTTTCAAAGTATCGCTTCAGTTCATCTGCGATTACCGATTCCATCACTTTTGATAAAACAGGAAAGAATGTAATAGGTCAGTAGTTGGCAGGATCCGATCGCTCATCTCCTTTGTATATTGGAGTGCTAATTCCAGTTTTACACTCATATCGGAGTGTATGGGAGTTAAACAGACCCTGGAAAAAGGTTGCGAGTGGTGCTGCTATGTTGGGAGAAAGGGTTTTCAGTACTTTTGGGCAGATAATGTTGATTCCAGGGGTACTGTACTCCCGGAGAGACTGTAATTTGCTTGCAGCGGCTGCTGGAGTAAAGGTGACGCTGGATAAGCCAACGACATTTGTTGGGAGTTGATAGGGCGAAGGTTCCATGGTATTTGTAGCTACCGAGCCAAACTGCAGGAGTAGAGCGATCACGGTAACTACAGCAGTAGTTGTTAGGCCACTGGCCGTCTTGAGTGGTGGTATTCCGGGCTTAACCGTTCTTTTGCCATTCACAAATCCGTATAGTAGTTTGGTGTTACTCGTAAATTTCAGCACGATGGTCTCTTGCCTTTCGTACTTATCGACTCTAATGAGCTACGTGCATTAGTTTCTGACTGCTTTGTAATTCTGCTATGTGATATCACATGGACAGCGAATGGTGCTACCAGATTTCATCTCCTCTGTTGATACATTTACGGGTTCTGCTCCGGATCCACGTATTGGTCCGGCGCGATGCCCGAAATGGTACGACCTCCGATGCCGATTATATGACCCAGTTAATTTTGTCTTTCACTTCATTCCACACGTCATTAGCTGAGCTCTGCATCTGTAGGTCCCTTCAAGGGTTGCTGCTAAT